GTCTAGTCTATAGTCTAGTCTATATTCTGTCTGTAGTCCAGTCTATAATCTAGTTTATAGTCTAGTCTATAGTCTAGTCTATAGTCTAGTCTATAGTCTAGTCTATAGTCTAGTCTATAGTCTAGTCTATAGTCTAGTCTATAGTCTAGTCTATAGTGTAGTCTATAGTGTTGTCTATAGTCTAGTCTATAGTCTAGTCTATAGTCTAGTCTATAGTCTAGTCTATAGTCTAGTCTATAGTCTAGTCTATAGTCTAGTCTATAGTCTAGTCTATAGTCTAGTCTATAGTCTAGTCTATAGTCTAGTCTATAGTCTAGTCTATAGTCTAGTCTATAGTCTAGTCTATAGTCTAGTCTATAGTCTAGTCTATAGTCTAGTCTATAGTCTAGTCTATAGTCTAGTCTATGGTCTAGTCTATAGTCTAGTCTATGGTCTAGTCTAGAGTCTGATCTAGAGCTAAATCTAGAGTTTAGTCTATAGTCTATATTACTGACTAGAATCTAGTCTATAGTCCATGTTTTATACCCTAACCCATCAAATGATCTAAAAATCTAATTTCTAATTTCAACTTCAGGGCCTTGAGTTCCTCACCAAATCGTGTGACATGAACAATGCCACCGCCTGTTTCTACCTGTCGGGCATGCACATTTCTGGCGTACAGACGAAACCCGAAGAAAGTCATCCTGCTCCCACACAAACACCAGCTAAAGATTCCGACTATATTGTACATAAAGATATGAAAAAAGCCTTTGAATTTGCCTATAAAGCCTGTGAACTGCGCAATATGTATGCTTGTGCCAATCTTAGCCAGATGTATGCCCGTGGTGATGGCACCGAGAAAAACGAAAAGGAAGCTGAAAAATATAAGAAAATGGCCATGGAAATGCAGGATGAAATTAAGAAACAACAACAAACTTTACAATTCCAACAGGGCTTGAAAAATCCTCATTAATCAAATCAATATTTTTTTAAGAAAAACAACACCAACATTTTTCTATAACTTCACAACTTTAAAGCCACCACTAACCTGAATTTTGTGTATGCTGAAACCCTTCTTAAAATGTATTAAAATTTACACTACCAACAACAATTTCTTTTAACTGTTTTTCTAAAAACTAAACCAATCTATGTAATTGACAACAAGTTTTGTTAGAAAACATTCTAAAAGGCTTTTTTTAGACATGTATGTAAATATCCCTATATTTTTTTCCAGATTTTTAGGGTCCTTTTTAATAGGACAGATTTAGTAGTTTTTAATGGGCCCCCCGTTATTTGACATGACAACTGTTTTTAAGTTGTCTTTTAAATTACAATTTAAATCACAAAGAAAAACAAATTAGTTTGATTTATAACATTTTCTATATTAATGTGTTTAAGTTAAAGTTAATTTTTAATTAAATAAAATAAAAATTCTTGTGTATTTTGTTTCGTTTTGCCGAACAGTGTAAAATGATTATAATTTTTTTGAAAATAAATTAAAAAAAAATTAGTTACAATTTTGAAAAAATGTTGCACTTTTTCTACAAAAAATAAGATTTAGAAGTTTACTAAATTATAATATATTATATTACTATAGACTAGACTATAGCCTAGACTAAAGACTAGACTACAGACTAGACTATAGAGTAGACTATAGACTAGACTATAGACTAGACTATAGACTAGACCATAGACTAGACTATAGACTAGACCATAGACTGGACTATAGACTAGACCATAGACTGGACTATATACTAGACTATAGACTAGACTATAGACTAGACTATAGACTAGACTATAGACTAGACCATAGACTAGACTATAGACTAGACTATAGACTACAATATAGATTAGACTAGACTATAGACTAGACTATAGACTAGACTATAGACTAGACTATAGACTAGACTTTAGACTAGACTATAGACTAGACTATAGACTAGACTATAGACTAGACTATAGACTAGACTATAGACTAGACTATAGACTAGACTATAGACTAGACTATAGACTAGACTATAGACTAGACTATAGACTAGACTAGACTATAGACTAGACTATAGACTAGACTATAGACTAGACTATAGACTAGACTATAGACTAGACTATAGACTAGACTATAGACTAGACTATAGACTAGACTATAGACTAGACTATAGATAGACTATAGACTAGAGTATAGACTAGACTATAGACTAGACTATAGACTAGACTATAGACTAGACTATAGACTAGACTATAGACTAGACTATAGACTAGACTATAGACTAGACTATAGACTAGACTATAGGCTAGACTAGACTATAGGCTAGACTAGACTATAGACTAGACTAGACTATAGACTAGACTATAGACTAGACTATAGACTAGACTATAGACTAGACTATAGACTGACTATAGACTAGACTATAGACTAGACTATAGACTGACTATAGACTAGACTATAGACTAGACTATAGACTGGACTATAGACTAGACTATAGACTAGACTATAGACTAGACTATAGACTAGACTATAGACTAGACTATAGACTAGACTATAGACTGGACTATAGACTAGACTATAGACTAGACTATAGACTAGGCTATAGACTAGACTATAGACTAGACTATAGACTAGTTTATAGACTAGACTATAGACTAGACTATAGACTAGACTATAGACTAGACTATAGACTAGACTATAGACTAGACTATAGACTAGACTATAGACTGGACTATAGACTAGACTATAGACTAGACTATAGACTAGACTATAGACTAGACTATAGACTAGACCATAGACTAGACTATAGACTAGACCATAGACTAGACTAGACTATAGACTAGACTATAGACTAGACTATAGTCTATACTATAGACTAGACTATAGACTAGACTATAGACTAGACTATAGACTAGACTATAGACTAGACTAGACTATAGACTAGACTAGACTAGACTATAGACTAGACTATAGACTAGACTATAGACTAGACTATAGACTAGACTATAGACTAGACTATAGACTAGACTATAGACTAGACTATAGACTACACTATAGATTAGACTAGACTATAGACTAGACCATAGACTAGATTAGACCATAGCATAGACTATATAGACAGACTCGACTACAGACTAGACTATAGACTATATCAGAAGTAGAACAGAACTAGAAAAAGAACTAGAACAGAACTAGAACAGAACTAGAACAGAACTAGAACAGAACTAGAACAGAACTAGAACAGAACTAGAACAGAACTAGAACAGAACTAGAACAGAACTAGAACAGAACTAGAAAAAGAACTAGAACTAGAACAGAACTAGAACTAGAACAGAACTAGAACAGAACTAGAAAAAGAACTAGAACAGAACTAGAACATAACTAGAACAGAACTAGAACAGAACTAGAACAGAACCAAAACAGAACCCAGAACAGAACAGAACAGAACCAGAACAGAACTAGAACAGAACTAGAACAGAACTAGAACAGAACCTAGAACAGAACTAGAACAGAATAGAACCGAACTAGAACAGAACTAGAACAGAACTAGACACAGAACTAGAACAGAATTAGAAACAGAAGTTTAAATGAATAGACTAGATAGACATTAGACTAGACTATAGAAGAGACCACACTATAGAAGAGACCAGACTATAGAATAGACTACAATATAAGAATAGGCTACAATATAGAATAGACTAGACGACTAGACTATAGATAGACTATAGGACTAGACTATAGGAATAGACTATAGACTAGACTATAGACTAGACTATAGACTGACTATAGACTAGACTATAGACTAGACTATAGACTAGACTATAGACCTAGACTATTAGACTAGACTATAGACAGACTATAGACTAGACTATAGACAGACTATAGACTAGACTATAGACTAGACTATAGACTAGACTATAGACTAGACTATAGACTAGACTATAGACTAGACTATAGACTAGACTATAGACTAGACTATAGACTAGACTATAGACTAGACTATAGACTAGACTATAGACTAGACTATAGACTAGACTATAGACTAGACTATAGACTAGACTATAGACTAGACTATAGACTAGACTATAGACTAGACTATAGACTAGACTATAGACTAGACTATAGACTAGACTATAGACTAGACTATAGACTAGACTATAGACTAGACTATAGACTAGACTATAGACTAGACTATAGACTAGACTATAGACTAGACTATAGACTAGACTATAGACTAGACTATAGACTAGACTATAGACTAGACTATAGACTAGACTATAGACTAGACTATAGACTAGACTATAGACTAGACTATAGACTAGACTATAGACTAGACTATAGACTAGACTATAGACTAGACTATAGACTAGACTATAGACTAGACTATAGACTAGACTAGACTATAGACTAGACTATAGACTAGACTATAGACTAGACTATAGACTAGACTATAGACTACACTATAGACTAGACTATAGATAGACTATAGACTAGATTATAGACTAGACTAGACAATCTAGACTATAGATTAGACTATAGACTATACTAGTGACTAGACTATAGATTAGACTATAGACTAGAGTATAGATTGACTATAGACTAGACTATAGCTAGACTATAGACTACTAGTGACTAGACTATAGACCAGACTATAGACTAGACTATAAACTAGACTAGACTATAGACTAACCATGGTAAAAATATTTTTACCATGGACTAGACTATAGACTAGACTATAGACTAGACATAGACTAGACTATAGATTAGACTATAGACTAGAGTATAGATAAGACTATAGACTAGACTATAGACTATAACTATATACTAGGCTATAGACTAGACTATAGATAGACTATAGACTAGACTATAGACTAACTATAGACTAACTATAGACTAGACTATAGACTAGACTATAGACTAGACTATAGATTAGACTGTAGACTAGAATATAGACTAGTCTATAGACTAGACTATATAGACTATATATACATTAAAGACCAGACTATCCATAGACTATTTATACTTTTATTTATAAAATTTTTAATTAAATTAAAATCGAATGAAACAAAATGTAATAGTTAACAAAGCAATTAAAAATTAATAACATTGAAAATCTGTTTATTACAGCATCGCATCCTTTTCCTTTAAAAGACTATTGGCTTTTGCTCTTGCCATGAGTAAATCTGTAGTTATAGTATCAGGACGTTCAATAGGCAACATTAAGGCTCGGGACCATATCAATTGAGCCATTAAGCCCAAAGCGCGTGAAACGCCAAATAGTACGGTATAATATGAAGCTTCGTTTAGACCAAAATGTCTTAATAAAACACCCGAATGGGCATCAACATTGGGCCAAGGATTACTAACTTTACTCAAACTTTTCAAAATACCCGGTACCACTTTATAAACTTTCGACACCAATTTGACGAGGGGATCATGGGGAATAACACGTTGGGCATATTCCATTTGGCAGATGAAACGTGGATCAGTTTTGCGTAAAACGGCATGACCATAACCGGGTATAACCTTAAAAATGGAGGGAAAGTTCGGAAAATATATAGGAGGGAAAGGATTTATAAGGGAAATTATACCTTGCCGCTTTGTTTCACTTGATCTTGACAGAAATCTTTAATATCCTGTTCACTAGCATTTTGACCCTTGGCCTTTACTAACTCATCCAACCATTTGAGCACTTCTTGATTGGCCAGACCATGCAGAGGACCTGCCAAACCATTTAAACCTGCTGCAAATGCTAAATAAGGATCAGTTAAAGTTGAACCTACCAGATGACAAGCATGGGCCGAAACATTGCCTCCCTCATGATCACAGTGTAGCGACAAATATAAACGCAAGAGTTCATTAAAATCGTGATCATTAAATCCTAACATATGAGCAAAATTGGCACTCCAATCTAGGGAAGATTTAGCAGAGTAATCGAATTTTGAAGTTTTGAAAGTTTTGTTATAAATCAGGGCAGCGACAGAAGGTAATTTGGCTAAAAGATCCATGCTGTCTTCGAGAATAAACTTCCAATATTCCGATCGTGGTATGTTCTTAAAAAGATTCCAATTTTATACAATTTCGATCAATATAAAGTTGAGTACTCACTCTCACCTCATTATAGGCCCTATTGAACTTGGAATTCTTATTCAGACTTGCTACCGCTATAGAAAATTGTGTCATTGGATGCATATCTTTCGGCAAAGAGTCTATTATTTTCTGCACATATTCCGGTAATGGACTATTTTCCGCCCACATTTTAGACAAAAATTCAACATTTGTTTTACTAGGTAATGCCCCCGTAATCAATAACCAAAACATTGCCTCCGGTAAAGGTTCTCTACCACCTTCAGCTTTAGGCAACTTTTGTTGTATTTCCGTTAAAGTAAACCCTCGGAAACGTATGCCCTCTTCGGCATCTAAATTCGAAGTATCACACACGAAACCTAACATACCACGCATGCCGCCATATAGTTGAGCCACAGTTATCTCTCCCACCTTTGTTCTACCATATTCCTTTTTAAATTTTGTTATTTTTAAACGCTCTTGCTCGATTTTAGTTTCTAGCAGGTCTGTGAAATCTTGTAAATTATTAACAGTTTGTTCATTAGTTTTAGGAGCAGACAATTTGTCTTCTAGTTCTTCACTTTTCTTTGGCGGAATTTGCAAAATATTTTGCTTGGTACTGGTCCAACGAAGTGCTAGAGGCTGTAAATTAAAATAACATTACATGTATAATATTAAACGGATTTGTTTTCCATATTTTTACCTTAAAATAAATATATTTTCTTAGAGAGATCATGTCGTTAGTTTATAAAAATTTTTTCAATTCAGCTTTTGAACAAATTATTTTAATTTTACAATAATATTTTGATTTAAAAACGATCGATAACTGTGTTAAAAACCCAAAATTATTCAACCTTTCAAAGGCTTATCACATTAAACTACAGATTAAAATATGGACTAGTCTATGGTATGAATTAGAATGTAATTTGGAATTTAAAATCTTCTTTAGTCTAACCTATAGTTTAGTTTAGTATATAGTATAGTCTAGTCTACAATCTATTCTATAGTCAGTGTACAATCTAGTCTAAAGTCTAGTCTATTGTCTAGTATAGTCTAGTCTATAGTCTAGTCTATAGTCTAGTCTATAGTCTAGTCTATAGTCAAGTCTATAGTCTTGTCTATAGTCTAGTCTATAGTCTAGTCTATAGTCTAGTCTATAGTCTAGTCTATAGTCTAGTCTATAGTCTCGTCTATAGTCTTGTCTATAGTCTAGTCTATAGTCTAGTCTATAGTCTAGTCTATAGTCTAGTCTATAGTCTAGTCTATAGTCTAGTCTATAGTCTAGTCTATAGTCTAGTCTATAGTCTAGTCTATAGTCTAGTCTATAGTCTAGTCTATAGTCTAGTCTATAGTCTAGTCTATAGTCTAGTCTATAGTCTAGTCTATAGTCTAGTCTATAGTCTAGTCTATAGTCTAGTCTATAGTCTAGTCTATAGTCTAGTCTATAGTCTAGTCTATAGTCTAGTCTATAGTCTAGTCTATAGTCTAGTCTATAGTCTAGTCTATAGTCTAGTCTATAGTCTAGTCTATAGTCTAGTCTATAGTCTAGTCTATAGTCTAGTCTATAGTCTAGTCTATAGTCTAGTCTATAGTCTAGTCTATAGTCTAGTCTATAGTCTAGTCTAGTCTATAGTCTAGTCTATAGTCTAGTCTATAGTCTAGTCTATAGTCTAGTCTATAGTCTTGTCTATGGTCTAGTCTATAGTCTAGTCTATAGTCTATTCTATAGTCTATTCTATAGTCTAGTCTATAGTCTAGTCTATAGTCTAGTCTATAGTCTAGTCTATAGTCTAGTCTATAGTCTAGTCTAGTCTATAGTCTATAGTCTAGTCTATAGTCTAGTCTATAGTCTAGTCTAGTCTATAGTCTAGTCTAGTCTATAGTCTAGTCTATAGTCTAGTCTATAGTCTAGTCTATAGTCTAGTCTATAGTCTAGTCTATAGTCTAGTCTATAGTCTAGTCTATAGTCTAGTCTATAGTCTAGTCTATAGTCTAGTCTATAGTCTAGTCAATGTCTAGTCTATAGTCTAGTCTATAGTCTAGTCTATAGTCTAGTCTATAGTCTAGTGTGTAGTCTAGTCTATAGTCTAGTCTATAGTCTAGTCTATAGTCTAGTCTATAGTCTAGTCTATAGTCTAGTCTATAGTCTAGTCTATAGTCTAGTCTATAGTCTAGTCTATAGTCTAGTCTATAGTCTAGTCTATAGTTTAGTCTATAGTCTAGTCTATAGTCTAGTCTATAGTCTAGTCTATAGTCTAGTCTATAGTCTAGTCTTTAGTCTAGTCTATAGTTTAGTCTATAGTCTAGTCTATAGTCTAGTCTATAGTCTAGTCTATAGTCTAGTCTATAGTCTAGTCTATAGTCTAGTCTATAGTCTAGTCTATAGTCTAGTCTATAGTCTAGTCTATAGTCTAGTCTATAGTCTAGTCTATAGTCTAGTCTATAGTCTAGTCTATAGTCTAGTCTATAGTCTAGTCTATAGTCTAGTCTATAGTCTAGTCTATAGTCTAGTCTAGTCTATAGTCTAGTCTATAGTCTAGTCTATAGTCTAGTCTATAGTCTAGTCTATAGTCTAGTCTATAGTCTAGTCTATAGTCTAGTCTATAGTCTAGTCTATAGTCTAGTCTATAGTCTAGTCTATAGTCTAGTCTATAGTCTAGTCTATAGTCTAGTCTATAGTCTAGTCTAGTCTATAGTTTAATCTATAGTCTAGTCTATAGTCTAGTATATAGTCTAGTCTATAGTGTAGTCTACAGCCTAGGATATTGGTTAGTCTATAGTGTAGTCTATAGTCTAGTCTATAGTCTAGTCTATAGTCTAGTCTATAGTCTATAGTCTAGTCTAGTCTATAGTCTATGTCTATAGTCTAGTCTATAGTCTAGTCTATAGTCTAGTCTATAGTCTAGTCTATAGTCTAGTCTATAGTCTAGCTATAGTCTAGTCTATAGCCTAGTCTGTAGTCTAGTCTATAGTCTAGTCTAGTCTATAGTCTAGTCTATAGTCTAGTCTATAGTCTAGTCTGTAGTCAAGTATATAGTCTAGGCTATAGTCTAGTCAATAGTCTGATCTATAGTCTAGTCTATAATCTAGTCTACAGTCTAGTTCTGTTCTAATTCTTTTCTAGTTCTGGTTCTAGTTGTGTTCTAGTTGTGTTCTAGTTGTGTTCTAGTTGTGTTCTAGTTCTGTACTAGTTCTGTTCTAGTTCTGTTCTAGTTCTGTTCTAGTTCTGTTCTAGTTCTGTTCTAGTTCTGTTCTAGTTCTGTTCTAATTCTGTTCTAGTTCTGTTCTAGTTCTGTTTTAGTTTCTGTTCTGGTTCTGTTCTTGTTCTGTTCTAGTTCTGTTCTGGTTCTGTTCTAGTTCTGTTTTAGTTCTGTTCTAGTTCTGTTCTATTCCTTTTCTAATTTAGTTTTACTACGGTTTAAATTAATCTGTTAAACGAGATCCATTTCCCATTAACTTCCATAACCGATTTTTTTTTTTTGAAAACATTTTATTTAAATTTGTTGGTTTTTTTATATTTAAATTACAAATCTTATAAAATAAATTAAAATTGTTTATGATTATTGTTTTTGTAGTTCTTTTTTTTTTCTTTGAAAAGCTTTTACAATTTTTTTTTTTTTATACATCAATTAAATGTTAAATTAAAAACATATTTTCATAGTTTTGATTACTTGCAAATGATAATGAATATTTCGAAATTTTAATTATTTTTCAATTTTTAATTAAAAACTGTTTTAAACTAAAGGAATAAGGAGAGACAGAGAGAACAATAAACTAAATTGCGTAATAAAAGAAGAAAAATTAAGGAAACGATAAAAATAATACTAAAAAATACACTTAAAGAAATAATTGTTTTAAATTGTTTTGTTTTGCTTATTTATTTTTTGCGGGAGGAGTTTCAATACAATTTCTAAATATTAATTATTTGGACAAACTGTTGTCTTATTTTTAGTGACTTTAAACGTCACTTTATTATCAAGTTTCAATAAAATGGTTCGAAATTTTAATTTTTTTTTTAAAATATTTATTTAATTAGGGTTATTTTTCTCAATTGGTTTCTTACTTAGTATTAAATAATAAAAAAAGAAAGCAAAGAAATTATTAAAGTTTTGTTTAAATTTCTCGGCTTTACTTTATTCATGATCTACCACATGTGGGTAGATTTACCCGGAAGAATACATTCAATTCGATTAGTGAGGCAAATATCAAAAATACCAAATACATGACCAGACAGGCGGTGCCCACTTTTTTATCCAATTTAAATTTATTACACGAAAATGTCAAATACAACAGGAAGAGAGTGGAGAGCAGGGTTATGGCGGAATATTCAAGACCGGCTGAATTGATGCCAACATAATTTTGTCCGGGTTGTATGGGAAAGAAGACAGCTTTGATGAGCCATGGTACACCCAAGCATAGAAGAATATCGAAGGTGTTTGAACCAATGGAATTACAAATACCCATTGAACCGTGACCTGTAAAGGGGAACATAAGAATTAGCATTTAAAAAACTTATTTTAAAACAAAAAATTTACCTCTTTTGGCCACTATAACACTGGAAACTGCCTCGGGTACACTGGTGCCAGCAGCCAGGAATGTAATACCCATAACGGAATCGGGAATTTTTAAAGTGTCACCTGAAATAAAATAAAACATGGTTTTAAGTTATGTTCCATTCTAGTTCTGTCTTAGTTCTGTTCTTGTTTAGTTCTAGTTTTGTTCTAGTTCTGTTTTAGTTTTGTCTTTGTTCTGTCTTAGTTCTGTTCTGGATCTGTTCTAGTTTTGTTCTAGTCTGTTCTAGCTCTGTTCTAGTTCTGTTCTAGTTCTAGTTCTGTTCTAGTTCTGTTCTAGTTCTGTTCTAGTTCTGTTCTAGTTCTGTTCTAGTTCTGTTCTAGTTCTGTTCTAGTTCTGTTCTAGTTCTGTTTCTAGTTCTGTTCTAGTTCTGTTCTAGTTCTGTTCTAGTTCTGTTCTAGTTCTGTTCTAGTTCTGTTCTAGTTCTGTTCTAGTTCTGTTCTAGTTCTGTTCTAGTTCTGTTCTAGTTCTGTTCTAGTTCTGTTCTAGTTCTGTTCTAGTTCTGTTCTAGTTCTGTTCTAGTTCTGTTCTAGTTCTGTTCTAGTTCTGTTCTAGTTCTGTTCTAGTTCTGTTCTAGTTCTGTTCTAGTTCTGTTCTAGTTCTGTTCTAGTTCTGTTCTAGTTCTGTTCTAGTTCTGTTCTAGTTCTGTTTCTAGTTCTGTTCTAGTTCTGGTTCTAGTTCTGTTCTAGTTCTGTTCTAGTTCTGTTCTAGTTCTGTTCTAGTTCTGTTCTAGTTCTGTTCTAGTTCTGTTCTAGTTCTGTTCTAGTTCTGTTCTGTTCTAGTTCTGTTCTAGTTCTGTCTAGTTCTGTTCTAGTTCTGCTCTAGTTTCGTTTCTAGTTCTGTTCTAGTTCTGTTCTAGTTCTGTTCTATTTCTGTTCTAGTTCTGTTTCTAGTTTCTGTTTCTAGTTCTGTATAGTTTCTGTTATAGTTCTGTTCTAGTTCTGGTTCCTGTTCTAGTTCCGTTCTAGTTCAGTTCTAGTTCTGTTCAGTTTCTGTTCTATTCTAGTTTCAGTTTCTAGTTCTGTTCTAGTCCCTGTTCCAGTTCAGTTCTAGTTCTGGTTCTAATTCTGTTCTAGTTCTGTTCTAATTCTAGTTTTGGTTCTGTTCTAGTTCTGTTCTAGTTCTGTTCTGTTCTTGTTCTTTTCTAGTTCTGTCTAGTTCTGTTCTAGGTTCTGTTCTAGTTCTGTTCTAGTTCTGTTCCTAGTTCTGTTCTGTTCTGTTCTAGTTCTGTTCTGTTCTTAGTTCTTTTCTAGTTGTTCTAGTTCTGTTCTAGTTCTGTTCTAGTCTGTTCTAGTTCTGTTCTAGTTCTGTTCTAGTTCTGTTCTAGTTCTGTTCTAGTTCTGTTCTAGTTCTGTTCTAGTTCTGTTCTAGTTCTGTTCTAGTTCTGTTCTAGTTCTGTTCTAGTTCTGTTCTAGTTCTGTTCTAGTTCTGTTCTAGTTCTGTTCTAGTTCTGTTCTAGTTCTGTTCTAGTTCTGTTCTAGTTCTGTTCTAGTTCTGTTCTAGTTCTGTTCTAGTTCTGTTCTAGTTCTGTTCTAGTTCTGTTCTAGTTGTGTTCTAGTTGTGTTCTAGTTCTGTTCTAGTTCTGTTCTAGTTCTGTTCTAGTTCTGTTCTAGTTCTGTTCTAGTTCAGTTCTAGTTCAGTTCTAGTTCAGTTCTAGTTCTGTTCTAGTTCTGTTCTAGTTCTGTTCTAGTTCTGTTCTAGTTCTGTTCTAGTTCTGTTCTGTTCTAGTTCAGTTCTAGTTCTGTTCTAGTTCTGTTCTAGTTCTGTTCTAGTTGTGTTCTAGTTGTGTTCTAGTTGTGTTCTAGTTCGTGTTCTAGTTCTGTTCTAGTTCTGTTCTAGTTCTGTTCTAGTTCAGGTTCTAGTTCAGTTCTAGTTCAGTTCTAGTTCTGTTCTAGTTCTGTTCTAGTTCTGTTCTAGTTCTGTTCTAGTTCTGTTCTAGTTCTGTTCTAGTTCTGTTCTAGTTCTGTTCTAGTTCTGTTCTAGTTCTGTTCTAGTTGTGTTCTAGTTGTGTTCTAGTTGTGTTCTAGTTCTGTTCTAGTTCTGTTCTAGTTCTGTTCTAGTTCTGTTCTAGTTCTGTTCTAGTTCTGTTCTAGTTCTGTTCTAGTTCTGTTCTAGTTCTGTTCTAGTTCTGTTCTAGTTCTGTTCTAGTTCTGTTCTAGTTCTGTTCTAGTTCTGTTCTAGTTCTGTTCTAGTTCTGTTCTAGTTCAGTTCTAGTTCTGTTCTAGTTCTGTTCTAGTTCTGTTCTAGTTCTGTTCTAGTTCTGTTCTAGTTCTGTTCTAGTTCTGTTCTGGTTCAGTTCTAGTTCTGTTCTAGTTCTGTTCTAGTTCTGTTCTAGTTCTGTTCTAGTTCTGTTCTAGTTTCTGTTCTAGTTCTGTTCTAGTTCTGTTCTAGTTCTGTTCTAGTTCTGTTCTAGTTCTGTTCTAGTTCTGTTCTAGTTCTGTTCTAGTTCTGTTCTAGTTCTGTCCTAGTTCTGTTTTAGTTCTGTTCTAGTTCTGTTCCAGTTCTGTTCCAGTTCTGTTCTAGTGCTGTTCTAGTTCTCTTCTAGTTTTGTTCCATTTCTCTCACCAATTATAGTTATCATCCAGGCCACAACGTATGACAGTGATCCGATCCACACAATACACATCACAAATGTCAAAGGGAATATTTTATTATTTTTCGCTTTCTTGCAATCCGGTATGGCAATACGGAACAGCAAGTGAATGGGCCATATAATGATCCAAGTGAATTGGGCAAAACAACTTTTACCCCAGGGATACTTAAGCAGGGAATAGCCTTCCTCTTCTTCAGGTTCAGCAGCACTGGCGGCATCAGCTATAGCGGCTGGTAACGCATTGGCGGCAGCCTCAACATCGGTATTTTCCTGATGGGCTATGGGAGCCTTGATCACACAACCCGAATTATTAGAGGCAGCCGTTGAAGTTGTAGTCGTAATATTCGAGGTGGTGGTGTTGGTAGTTAGGCAAGTGGTGGCTATAGGCGGTGAAGCAGAAGGTGGTATTTTTGGCGGTTCATTATTGACACCACCATTCAATTGAATGGTGGATAAATTATGGCATATACGATTCTCCACGAGATCTGTTAAGGGGAATTGAGGTTAAAGTGTTAATATTTTTTGTAGTAAAGAAAGTTAAAACATTAGAAGTGAGAAGAGATTTGGGAAACAGTTTTGAAGTGAGCACAGTTTTGGATTAAACAGGTATTTACAGTTAGATTTAGGAGTATATTTAATTAGGCGGTTAAATAACAATTAGTTAGCGGTTAAACAGTTGACAATTAAGTTAAATAAATTGAAAGTATTATTAATAAAGTTTTGATCATTAAGAAGCACCTTCATGGTTTGAAATAGAAAATATTTGTAATAAGGATCTTGACTTTAATATACAACATGAATATAGACGGTTATAAAATTTCTTGTTTATACAAATATCGGATAAGAACAGTGAAAATTTTTAGTTGAAAAAAACAGTAAAAAGACAGAAGTTAACATATTCCATAAAGGGACTTGAGAGCATAACTCGATTCCCGACTAATTTAAACAAATTCTCTGGGAATCTAATTACTTCCCTGGTCCCTAATCGATAGTTAGTTTTTTTAATAGACCAGAAATATTTTATATCAAAGAAAATATTATAAACCTGGTTCTTTTTCATTACTGTTCTTGGTCTGTATGCTACAGTTTGAAGAACGGCTGCGTGAACGAGCTTGCTTAACTCCACCTATATATTAAATTGAAAATTGCCAACAAATTTCGTAAAAAACGGATTACAACAATCACTTACCTTTGGCACACTTCTGAAACGACTTATCGAAATACATGACAGCCAAGTAGACAGCATATAGGGAGACCAAAATTAAGGCCTCATACCATTCGACACGTTCGTCATGCATGACACAAATTAAAACGGCCACCGTAAAACCATAAGCTATACTGTCACGCGTCAAAGGCCACCAATCCAGTGGTATAGTCTATATTATTTAAATACGTTTCAAAATTTAATAATAAAAAAGAACATTTCTTAAATCGTTAATACACTCACCATTCCCGCTCCTATACCGCAACAAGCTGCCACAGCTAAAATATTAAATACCGCTGAACCCACTATGGTACCCACACCGATATCACCCTCTGTGATAAAGGTACCTATCACATTTACAAAAAGTTCTGGTGCCGATGTTGCTGCTGCCATAAATGTAGCACCCGCTACATCATTGGACATATTTAGGGCTATTTAAAAGTACGGACCCATTTATTCGAATTGAAAATAGTTATTTTTAGAATAAAACTTACCGGCACAGATTTTTCCACGGCGGGCACAAAAATATTCATCACATACTACAGCTAAAGCTACAAATAAATATAAACTGGCTATAACATGAAGTACAACAGCACCCGCTTGTCTTTGACCCTCTGTGAATAAATCCCGGGGAAAATCATCAATAGCAGGCTGTGTGCAATTTATGTCTGGAAGTACAAGGGACAATAATTAGCCAACAATATATCAAATTTAGAACTACAACAGAACAAGAGCAGAACTAGAACTGACTAGAACTGAACTAGAACAGAACTAGAACAGAACTAGAAACATAATTAGAACAGAACTAGAACAGAACTAGAACAGAAACTAGAACAGAACTAGAACAGAACTAGAACAGAACTAGTACAGAACTGGAACAGAACTAGAACAGAAACTAGAACAGAACTAGAACAGAACTAGAACAGAACTAGAACAGAACTAGAACAGAACTAGAACAGAACTAGAACAGAACTAGAACAGAACTAGAACAGAACTAGAACAGAACTAGAACAGACTAGAACAGAACTAGAACAGAACTAGAACAGAACTAGAACAGAACTAGAACAGAACTAGAACAGAACTAGAACAGAACTAGAACAGAACTAGAACAGAACTAGAACAGAACTAGAACTAGAACAGAACTAGAACAGAACTAGAACAGAACTAGAACAGAACTAGAACAGAACTAAACAGAATTAGAACAGAACTAGAATAAACTAGAACAGAACTAGAACAGAACTAGAACAGATTAGAACAGAACTAGAACAGAACTAGAACAGAACTAGAACAGAACTAGAACAGAACTAGAACAGAACTAGAACAGAACTAGAACAGAACTAGAACAGAACTAGAACAGAACTAGAACAGAACTAGAACAGAACTAGAACAGAACTAGAACAGAACTAGAACAGAACTAGAACAGAACTAGAACAGAACTAGAACAGAACTAGAACAGAACTAGAACAGAACTAGAACAGAACTAGAACAGAACTAGAACAGAACTAGAACAGAACTAGAACAGAACTAGAACAGAACTAGAACAGAACTATAACAGACTAGAACAGAACTAGAACAGAACTAGAACAGAACTAGAACAGAACTAGAACAGAACTAGAAACAGAACTAGAACAGAACTAGAACAGAACTAGAACAGAACTAGAACAGAACTAGAACAGAACTAGAACAGAACTAGACAGAACTAGAACAGAACTAGAACAGAACTAGAACAGAACTAGAACAGAACTAGAACAGAACTAGAACAGACTAGAACAGAACTAGAACAGAACTAGAACAGAACTAGAACAGAACTAGAACAGAACTAGAACAGAACTAGAACAGAACTAGAACAGAACTAGAACAGAACTAGAACAGAACTAGAACAGAACTAGAACAGAACTAGAAACAGAACTAGAACAGAACTAGAACAGAACTAGAACAGAACTAGAACAGAACTAGAACAGAACTAGAACAGAACTAGAACAGAAACTAGAACCTAGAACAGACTAGAACAGAACTAGAACAGAACTAGAACAGAACTAGAACAGAACTAGAAACAGAACTAGAACAGAACTAGAACAGAACTAGAACAGAACTAGAACAGAACTAGAACAGAACTAGAACAGAACTAGAACAGAACTAGAACAGTACTAGAACAGAACTAGAACAGAACTAGAACAGAACTAGAACAGAACTAGAACAGAACTAGAACAGAACTTGAACAGAACTAGAACAGAACTAGAACAGAACTAGAACAGACTAGAACAGAACTAGAACAGAACTAGAACAGAACTAGAACAGAACTAGAACAGAACTAGAACAGAACTAGAACAGAACTAGAACAGAACTAGAACTAGAACAGAACAGAAACAGAACAAACAGAACGGAACGGAACAGAACAGAACAAACAGAACAGAACAGAACTAGAACAGAACTAGAACATAACTACAACCAGAACTACAACCAGAACTAGAGCTATAACTTGATGTTGTATAATGTATAAACTTTGTTTTAAATTTCTTCCAAATTTTTTTCATAATCTTCAATCACAATCGGAGGTGATCTCATCATAAAGATCAACTTTAAGATGATTTATTTTAATTTCTTATATAATTGAAAATTATTATTGTTATGTGTTTTTTTTCAACTTTAGACTTCAAAACAAATTTTTGGCGGTAAAAATTTATCAATTTATATCAAACAAAATAATTCGCATAAAATTAGACAAATGCAAAATAGAAGTCACAACAAAAACCTTGATACAACAACTAAATTTAAACTAGAGAAAAAACAAAATTCTAATGACGACAAATAAACAATATACTAGAAATACGAGTAAAATACAATAAAATTAGAAAAAAAACACAACAACAACAAACAAATAAATAAACGTAAATTATCCATTATGAAGTGGCGGCGCTACTTTTACACAATTAAAATAATTTTTGTAAAAATTTTTAATTGATTTAGAGAGAAAAAAATTTAAAACAATACAGTCATACAATAAACTAAATTTATTTAAAGAAAAAAATTATAAAATTAAATTTTTAATGTGTGTGTGAGTTTACACTCACACATCTTGCACAAAGTTCGTATTTTTAAACGATTTGAAACGGAAGTAATAAACTAAGTACATTCGAAGTAGCGGTAATAAACAACAAAAACAACATCAAACGATTGTGATCTTCGAATTTTTCTATTTAAAATTTAATCTGGATTTTCTCGGTATCGGTTTTAAATTGCTACACTGAGAGATTTTAAGATTAGATTTTCATCAAAAAAGATGAAAAGTAACTGACTAACTAACTAACTAACTAACTACTACTACTAACTAACTAACTAACTAACTAACTAACTAACTAACTAACTAACTACTAACTAACTAACTAACTAACTAACTAACTAACTAACTAACTAACTAACTAACTAACTAACTAACTAACTAACTACTAACTAACTAACTACTAACTAACTAACTAACTAACTAACTACTAACTAACTAACTAACTAACTAACTAACTAACTAACTAACTAACTAACTAACTACTAACTAACTAACTAACTAACTAACTAACTAACTAACTAACTAACTAACTACTAACTAACTACTAACTAACTAACTAACTAACTAACTAACTAACTAACTAACTAACTAACTACTAACTAACTACTAACTAACTACTAACTACTAACTAACTAACTAACTAACTAACTAACTAACTAACTAACTAACTAACTAACTAACTAACTAACTAACTACTAACTAACTACTAACTAACTAACTAACTAACTAACTAACTAACTAACTAACTAACTAACTAACTAAACTACTACTAACTAACTAACTAACTAACTAACTAACTACCTAACTAACTAACTAACTAACTAACTAACTAACTAACTAACTAACTAACTAACTAACTAACTACTAACTAACTAACTAACTACTAACTAACTAACTAACTAACTAACTAACTAACTAACTAACTAACTAACTAACTAACTAACTACTAACTAACTAACTAACTACTAACTAACTAACTAACTAACTAACTAACTAACTAACTACTACTAACTAACTAACTAACTAACTAACAACTAACTAACTACTAACTAACTAACTAACTAACTAACTAACTAACTAACTAACTAACTAACTAACTAACTAACTAACTAACTACTAACTAACTAACTACTAACTAACTAACTAACTAACTAACTAACTAACTAACTAACTAACTAACTAACTAACTAACTAACTAACTAACTAACTAACTAACTAACTAACTAACTAACTAACTAACTAACTAACTAACTAACTAACTAACTAACTAACTACTAACTAACTAACTAACTACTAACTAACTAACTAACTAACTAACTAACTAACTAACTAACTAACTAACTAACTAACTAACTACTAACTAACTAACTAACTAACTAACTAACTAACTAACTAACTAACTAACTAACTAACTAACTAACTACTAACTAACTAACTAACTAACTAACTAACTAACTAACTAACTAACTAACTACTAACTAACTAACTAACTAACTAACTAACTACTAACTAACTAACTAACTAACTAACTAACTAACTAACTAACTAACTAACTAACTAACTAACTAACTAACTAACTAACTAACTAACTAACTAACTAACTAACTAACTAACTAACTAACTAACTAACTAACTAACTAACTAACTAACTAACTAACTAACTAACTAACTAACTAACTAACTAACTAACTAACTACTAACTAACTAACTAACTAACTAACTAACTAACTAACTAACTAACTAACTAACTAACTAACTAACTAACTAACTAACTAACTAACTACTAACTAACTAACTAACTAACTAACTAACTAACTAACTACTAACTAACTAACTAACTAACTAACTAACTAACTAACTAACTAACTACTAACTAACTACTAACTAACTAACTAACTAACTAACTAACTAACTAACTAACTAACTAACTAACTAACTAACTAACTAACTAACTAACTAACTAACTAACTAACTAACTAACTAACTAACTAACTAACTAACTAACTAACTAACTAACTAACTAACTAACTAACTAACTAACTAACTAACTAACTAACTAACTAACTAACTAACTAACTAACTAACTACTAACTAACTAACTAACTACTAACTAACTAACTAACTACTAACTAACTAACTAACTAACTAACTAACTAACTAACTAACTAACTAACTAACTAACTAACTAACTACTAACTAACTAACTAACTAACTAACTAACTAACTAACTAACTAACTAACTAACTAACTACTAACTAACTAACTAACTAACTAACTACTAACTAACTAACTAACTAACTAACTAACTACTAACTAACTAACTAACTAACTAACTAACTACTAACTAACTAACTAACTAACTAACTAACTAACTAACTAACTAACTAACTAACTAACTAACTAACTAACTAACTAACTAACTAACTAACTAACTAACTAACTAACTAACTAACTAACTAACTAACTAACTAACTAACTAACTAACTAACTAACTAACTAACTAACTAACTAACTAACTAACTAACTAACTAACTAACTAACTAACTAACTAACTAACTAACTACTAACTAACTAACTAACTAACTAACTAACTAACTAACTAACTAA